AAGTTCAAAGTTCCACAGATTTTTAGGGCAGTGGCAAAATGCCACCAGTCTCTTTGCTAAAACACCAAGTGTCACCTTTATTCTAGTTCCAACAAATCCCTCATCTCCATCTAAGTCCAGCTCAGCCTGAACCTAATCGTCTATATCACTATCAGCATTTTTGTCAGAGGCATTTAACAAGCCTCTAGGACGTTCCAAACTCTCCCACATGTTCCTGTCTTCTTCTGCGCCTATCAAGCTGTTCCAACCTCTGCCTGTTACCCAGTTCCAAAGTCACTTCCACATTTTCAGGCCTCACTACCCAGTACCAATTTACTGTGTCAGTCCCGTCCTCATGCTATGAAGAAATATTCGAGACTGGGTAATTCATAAAGAAAAGAGATTTAATTGACCTGCAGTTCTGCATGTCTGGGTTGGCCTCAGGAAACTTACGATCATGGTGGAAGGCACCTATTCACAGATCGGCAGGAGAGAGAATAGAGCCCAGCAAAGGGGGAAAAGCCCCTCAAAACCCATCACCCTCCTGATGTAATTACCTCCCACTGGGTCTGTCCCATGACAAGTGAGGATTATGGGAACTACAATTTAAGATGAGACTTGGGTGGGAACACAGCCAAACCATATCACCCACGGGGTTGCCGACATTCTTCAGCAGATGCCCCACAGCAAGAGTTCCCTTTCTTCTGACTCCCTCCCTCCCTACTCACAGAGCCTTTGTAGTAAACCACCTTCAATCCCACATCCCGAGGGGCAGCGCAGGACAGGAGAGAACACAGGACAGAGGACATGGTGCTGGTGGCCAAGGAGGGGCGTGGAGGGCTCAGTGCTGTTTCTCCACTTGTGCTCACTCACAGGAGTCAGAGGTGCTCCAGGGCCGTGTCCTCAGGGCTGCATCCTGAGACTGCTGGGCTCCCTCAAAGAGATGGAGCCTTGATCTCTTCCACCATCAGGCCTCAGCAACTTGTCCCCTCCGTAGAATGCAGAGGGCAGCTTTGGAGGCCTGAGGCTTACTCAGAAGGAACTGGAAATCTAGGTGGATGTTCCCAAACCTCATTTCTTGACCTGCATGTTTTTGCCAAAGTCCAGTGTTCTTCGAACACCACATATGGCATCCGCGGAAATCAGGAGAGAATTTCTAGCACCTGCTGGGGAGGCTGCCTGGACAGGGTGTAGCCTCCGTGGGCAAGGAGAGGAGAGGCTCCCTCAGTCCTGGCCAAGGCCCGTGGCAGTGAAGGGAGCAGCCCAGCACCTCCCTGTGGCCAGACTGACCCCTGAGTTACGCTGCTGGCCTCATGTGGAGAATTGCTCCCCCAGCTTTGCATGAGTTTGTGACCCACACAACTGTGAGATATAATAAAATGAGGGAATTGTTAATCCATTAAGTTCTAGGGCAATTTGCTATGAGCAATTGATAAATGGGGCAACCAGTGAAGTCTGTTAAGGATGTTTGGTGAGGGTTGTATGCCAGCATGTCCCCCGGCAGGGTCCCCATGTTCTGGGAGTGGTGTCCTGGAGAGCTCGGAAGTGGCCACCATGTTGCCTCCCGTCAGTGGACCTGGTGCTAGGCAGACAGGGTGTCCGCAAAGGTCTCTACTCTGGTCACGGAGGCAGAATCTCCTTCGTTTTTATCTTTCTCAGCACCTGGCGCAGCCTTTTTTACGGGAAGCAAGTGGGCATCTGCAGTGACTGTGGGCAATAGAACAGTGAGTGTGGGGGCGGCAGAATGCGTTGCTGCAGGGACGTTGGGGCTGGACAGAGGAGCATGTGCTGAAGGCTGGAGGGCTCTGAGAGAAAGCGGGGAGCAAGACAGGATGGGGGAACCCGAGGGGGGTGGAGGGGGCCCCAGGGAGAAGTGAGAGGACTCAGGAGCCAGACCATGCGTGAGAGAGAGAGTCAGGTGGCAGACGGCAGAAATAACAGGAGGGCGGGGATGCGCAGATGTGGAAATGCCTGATTCTGCAGGGCCCCCCCGGCAGAGACGAGGTCTTGGGATCACCCACCCATGTGGGAGCTGCGGGGTCTCTGGGGTTGGGGCACTCCCAGGGCCGCACCTGGGTTCTGGGTCGTGGAACTGGGTTTTAATCCTCACCATTGCTGTGCGCTCTGAACCGGCTAATTCTCCGGTGAATATGAAAATTAAGGAATTGAACACGTCTAGGATGCTTTGGCTGTGCTGGGCACCAGGTTAGTATTCGCAGTCCAAGGAGCAGCGTTTCCCTGGAAAGGTGCTGGTGGAGACACGGGCCCTGGACGCCCGCCAAGGTTTAGCCCCATGGGAAGCTGGAAGGGGAAAGACTCCCCAGACGGCCCTGCTTATGGCAAAGTAGACCTGGCATCTGCCGACTGCAGGTGATTGGCACAGAGGGGCTCTCATGACGTGGCTGGTCACTGTGGTGGCCTCATGCCGTCATCTGGAGAGCAAAGGCAGGGCAGGTCACCAAGCTCAGGTACAATGAGGCTCTCGGGGGCACAGAGGCCTGGCTCTGAATGAAGAAGGCAGGTATTCCAGGTGTGCACGGCAGTGAGAAAGGCGCCAGCACCCACCCACCCACCACGAGAGGGGTTTGCTCTTGGCCACACATGCCACACACCGTCTTACTGAATTTCAACACAAAGGCCATCAACTGCTCCATTTATAAATGAGGAAATGGAGGCACAGAGAGACTGCGCTGGCTGACCAGAGTTGCTGGGCTGAGGACCGGCCCTGCCAGGTGGGCTGCAGGCTTTGGGCCCCCATGCCTAGACTCTGCACTGGCCTGGCTGCCTCTAGCGATGATCGTGGACCCAGGCCCACCCAGGCAGGCTTGTGTTGCTTGTCCCACCTCTCTCTGAGGGTTATTCAAGGTGGCCGTGCTCCAGGATGGCCTGTCCTCCTGAGATGAGTGTGTGCACACATTCCCGGCAAATCTGGGAAGACTCGGCCCGTGGAAATCTGAGGGGCTCAGTGGGAAACCCAGGCTCCTCTTACACAGTTGCTCCCTGGCTCTTCCTGAAGGGACAGAGCTCCTGTTTCCATCCTGAGAATGGTGTTATTTGAGTAACACTCATGTTCAGTGTGAAACAAAGAGAAACCACGAGAGTGAGGCCCTCCCCACGCTCAGGCCAGAGGTTCTAATTTATTCCTCATCATACCCTTGTGACGTGGTAAAAAGACCAATAACACTGCATATCTCAACCACACCTCAGCGTTCTGTTGAAACTGCTGTCATAACCCAAATGTGAATAAGTAATTAAGGACTGTGATCCCCACCCTCCCCAGACGATGTGTAGACGAATGCTAATCTTGGCTTTTGTGAACCACTTAAGTAACTATCAGAATGTCAAATAGTCCCCTGGCCGTCGGAATGTCTGAAGCCCCTCGCCCTCATCCCCGCTCCTCACCCCCACTCCCAAGGTGGTTTTACGGGTATAAAAAGGTCTTGTCACTCTTCTTTCTCTGCCACGGGTTGGAGAGACGTGAGTCCTCCGTGGTCACCAGCAATAAACCCTGCAATTTGGCATCCTTTTGTCTTGGTGTTGACTTTCTGTGCTCGGTCCTGTATAACACCCTCGGTACAGGCACACCTGGTCCTATTTTTAGGTGAGGAAACTGCAGTTTAGGGACATTTGGTGATCTGACAAGTTGCATCGCCAGTGAATGGCAGAACCATAATTCAAAACAGCGTCTGTTTTACGGGAAACAAACAAAAAACATATGTAATTCCTGGTCCGCTTATTTCCTTATTGATTTTTCCAAAAGTCAGTGTTACATCCTCAAGTGGAATACGTGCAGACTATCCGTCTTCGCGAATACATAATTGTTCCAATACTTTCTTTCAAATGTTCTGTTACTGCCTCGGAAGTCTGGCCATAGGGTCCAGAAGAGGGACAGGCCCGCTCTGGGAAGAGCTGTGCTTGAAGATTTCTGCAGAGCTGCCTGCTCCCGAAGCCCGCATCCCCGGCTCTGCTCGCCAGGCACGGCATGTGTTTTCTGAGTTTACTTCCCCTTCAAGAATCTCAAGGAAATTTGTACTTTGAAAGGGAAGAAAACTCCTTGGAGAAACGGTTGATTCTGGACGAATGCAGTGAATGTACAAGATGAGCCCAGAGCATCTTCCAGAGCCAGAAAGCAAGGAAGTGCTCAGAACCCAAATTAAAAACAGCATCCAAACAACGGGCGGCAAGGTCGGGGGACGCAGGAGCCGACTGCGAGGACTCTCCGGTGGCTGAAGCTGCGGCAGTGTGAGCAACAAAATAATGTGATGTTGAATTATAACCCAGAGCACAGAATGCATGCAGTGCTTTCCTACAAATGCAGACATATAACTGAGTAAGTGGAGAACAGACATCTCTCACGCAGGGAAATTCTAATTTGTGAAGATCCCACACCTTCCTGCAGGCAGGGCCGAGCTCCTGCCCCAACAGAATGTGCTGTGCGCAGTGACTTCTCCAACAGAGGCAGCCCCCAACGGGGAGGGTCATTTTCAGTGAGAAGCCTCACAAACCCCTCCTCGGCCAGGTGACTACGTCCCGCAGCAGCAAAGGTAAGTCACCCTGGTGGCAGGCACCGGTGATAGGACATGTTACCTCTGTGTCATCCTCCCCAAACCCAGAACCCAAGTCTAACCATGAGGATAAAGCTCAGCAACACCCCACCTGAGGGGGCACCCTACAAAGCACACCTTGCCAGCACCCCTCACAACTGTTAACAAAAACTAGGAGAGTCCCAGAAACTGTCTCAGCCAGGTGGAGCCCAAGGGGGCGTGGTGGCTCAATGTCCGGTGGGATCCTGGGTGGGAAAAGGTGGCAGATAACAACTGTGTCCACCTGAATACATTACAGGCTTTAGGTAATAACGTAGAAATGCTAACTTACTGATTATGATAAATGAACTGGACCTCTGTGAGGTGTTAGGAATGGAGAGGGGTGGCTACATGGGTACTGGGACTGATCTTGACAACTTTACTGTAAAACTATCCAAAAATAAAAAAATGATTAAAACAAACACAAATAACTGAACGTTTTAATAAACCTGGCTTTCACATAGTTTATTGATATCTCATTTAAAAATGAGCCCATCCCAGTCCATCCCAGCTGAGAGGTTGGCGTGTGCCTGTTTGGGTGTCCCCACCCAAATCTCACGTGGAATTGTAATCCAGAGTGTTGCAGGTGGAGGCGGGGGGAGGTGACTGGATCGTGGGGTGGTTTCCTGTTGCTGTTCTCATGTTAGTGAGTGCTCCAGAGAGCTGGCTGTTTGAAAGTGTGCGGCGCCTCCTCCTCCCTCTCTCTGTCTTCCTCTTGCCCTGGCTGTGTAAGACATGGCCGCTCCCCTTTCACCTTCCACCATGAGTGAGCGTTTCCTGAGGCCTCCCAGCCATGTTTCCCATAGAGCCTGCAGAACTGTGAGCTGAGTAAACCTCTTGTCTTGACAGTTACCCAGTCTTGGGTAGTTCTTCGTAGCAGTGTGAGAACAGCCTAACTCAGCATGCCACAGGACTTCCGTCACCAGGGGGCCGCAGCATGTTCCTTAACAGAAGCTATTTTTACTTTTCTTGAGGTTAACACATTTGGGGCTATGAGACATGTAGGATCTGTAAGTATTTAAATAAGATAATGGTGATAAAAGGACCTACCCAAGGACCTACCCATGCAAGCTGTGAACTGAGGGTGATGGCCATTACCAACGGTGAGAGTCAGCAGGGGCTCCAATACGGGTAGATCTGACATCCTTCTGAAAAACTTCAGGCACCCTAGAGTTGCCACAGCTGGGAGACAGGTGTGGGCGTGTGGTCCAGTGAGAGCACCTGCTCTCCTGGGCGGAGCCAGCTGCCCCTGTACTTAGTCCATGGGATTAGGGTCACACATGCACGTGGCTTCTGAGGCTGAGAGGAACGTGAGAAACGTCACTGATGGATAGAGGACTCTGTTGCAAAACAAACAGTTCTGCAGCCTCTGAGTGTACATGGCCAGGCCGTGCTGTAGCTCCGGGCCTTGGACGTGGGAGTCAAATAATGACAGACGAAAACCAAAGATGGAACCCAGCAAACGTCTTCAGAACAACTCACAGAATAAAGGGGTGAGAGGTGTGTTCTTTCTTCGGCTGCCACGGTCCTCAGCACTGAGAATCTGGGATACTTGAGCTTCTGGGAAACTGGCATCCATGACCTGCTTTCCACTCCAGCTGGGGTGAGCTGGAGGCCCAAGGCTGTGTCCTATCTGCCCTTGGTCTGCATCGATGGACATCTACTCCCCGATCCTGAACCAAAGGCTGCTGAGTCTCCATGCAGATATATTTTACCTGCAGGCCCAAGTCTGTAAACTGGGGTTTGTCTACCACTTGGAGAATCGTGAGCTAACTTCGGAAGCTACAAAGCCAGCCTCAGAGCTCCAGGATTTTTCAGAGATGCTGATCTGAGTTGTCCAGAGTCCACCTATGTGCTTCCCATGACAGTTTTTCTCCCCATATTCACTAAGAGAAAAACACTGTGAGAAAATACTAGCACTGTCCTTCTTGGCGCCTGGCTGCTACAGGGCTGTTGGCCCTGGGTAGATGCCTCTCAAGCCTTTTTGCCTGGCCCCGCATTGCAGGCCTGTGTCTCCCACAGTTCCTGCACCACTGCACCTAGCGCCTCCTCTGCCGCAGAAGCTGAGCTGACCTTCATTCTCCCTAAATGTCTGCCCTTCGGTTCTTCTGCGTTGGCTGACAGCAGAGTGCTGTCAGTTTAATTTTCCACTCTTTTTTTTTTTTTGAGATGGAGTTTCACTATGGTTACCCAGGCTGGAGTGCAATGGCGCGATCACGACTCACCGCAACCTCCGCCTTCTGGGTTCAAGCAATTCTCCTGCCTCAGCCTCCCGAGTAGCTGGGATTACAGGCACGCACCACCATGCCCAGCTAATTTTTGTATTTTTAGTAGAGACAGGGTTTCACCTTGTTGACCAGGATGGTCTCGATCTCTTGACCTCGTGATCCACCCTCCTCAGCCTCCCAAAGTGCTGGGATTACAGGCGTGAGCCACCGCGCCCGGCCAATTTTCCACTCTTAAGTGGAGAACTTACTGTGTGCTGGGTTTTCTTCCACACAGCCAAGACAAAAATAAGAAGCCATGAACAGGGGAGAAGGAGACAAACATTGACGGAGTATCTGCCATGTGGCAGGCTCTGTAAACACACGGAAAAGTGAGTCATATCCAAACCTGAGAGGCGGCCAGCTTTATTCTCCTTTAGAGGGGAAACTGAGGTGTAGTGAGGTCAGCACTTCTCCAACATTCACGCAAGCAGTGGCTGGCACAGGCTGAAGTGAAGCCCAGGGGTGCAGGTTCCGGATGTGATCCTGATAGGGGATCTGCCTCTGAACAGCTTTAGCGCAGTTGGGGTGTCTGGAATTACATACAACCTCTTGTAAAAAAGAGATTCTGACGAAACACGTCACTTTTTCCAAGGAGAACTGATTTAGGACAGCAAAGACAAAAAGGAGTGAGCCGATGGAGACCATCCTGGCCAACATGATGAAACCCCGTCTCTACTAAAAATACAAAATAAATTAGCGGGGCGTGGTGGTGCGCGCCTGTAGCCCCAGCTACTTGGGAGGCTGAGGCAGGAGAATTGCTTGAACCTGGGAGGCAGAGGTTGCAGTGAGCTGAGATTGCACCACTGCACGCCAGCCTGGCGTCTGGCAATAGAGTGAGACTCTGTCTCAAAAAAAAAAAAAAAAAAAGTAGTGGGCCACAGACTGAAAGAAAGAGCGGGGGATCGATCCAAGATGGCCGACCACTAACAGCTCAGGATTGTAGCTCCCAGTGAAAGCTCAGAGAACGAGACGATGCCACATCTTTAGACGAATTTTCGTCACTCACCGATTAGCCGATTCCCAGTGGAGGAGCCCCACGGGTCGCCAGCGCGACTCTTGTGGCCGCCGCAGCGGTTTTGCTGGCGTCTCGGCGCAGCAGCTCTTCATGCAGAGCCAACGGGACTGCTTCCCCTACTGACCGGAGTTTGGAGCTCCGGGAAGTCAGAGCCGCTTGTTGCGGACTCAAGAGGGAAGCCAGACCAGGGATTCCCGGGCAGAAGAGCACCATCAGTCTTATTGCTGCTATTTAGGCCGCCACAGTGGGTTGCTCGGATCCCAACACTGGGAATCAATAAGTCGGACGTCGACTCAGAAACCTAATTAGAAAGGCGGTTCATCTACAATGAAGGGAAAAAGACAGCCTAAGAAGGCCGAGCATACTCAAAATCAGAACCCATCAGCAACGGAACAAGCCCTGATGGAAAAGGACTCATCAGCAACCGAACAAGCCCTGATGGAAAAGGACTCATCAGTAACGGAACAAGCCCTGATGGAAAAGGACTGTGTTCCATTATCTGAAGTAGGCTTTAAAAGGTGGATGATAAGAAACTTCTGGGAGTTAAAGGAACTTGTTCTAACCCAATGTAAAGAAACTAAGAACTTGGAAAAAAGGTTAGATGAAATGTTGAAAAGAATAGACAATATAGAGAGGAATATAAATGAACTTATGGAGTTGAAAAATACAACACGAGAACTTAGTGAAAAATGTACAAGCTTAAACAGCCGAATGGATCAAGCAGAAGAAAGGGTATCAGAGGTAGAAGACCAACTTAATGAAACAAAACGACAAGACAAGAATAGAGAAAAAAGGATAAAAAGGAATGAGCAAAGTCTCCAAGCAATATGGGACTATGTGAAAAGACCTAATATATGCTTGATTGGTGTACCTGAATGTGACGGAGAGAATGAAGTCAAGCTGGAAAATACTCTCCAGGACATTATCCAGGAAAATTTTCCTAATTTAGCAAAGCAGGACACTATTCAACCCCAGGCAATACAGAGAACACCACAAAGATATTCCTCAAGAAGATCAACCCCAAGGCACATAATCATTAGATTCACCAAGATCGAAACGAAGGAGAAAATATTAAGGGCAGCCAGAGAGAAAGATCAAGTTACCCATAAAGGTAAGCCTATTAGGCTTACAGCAGATCTCTCAACGGAAACCCTACAAGCTAGAAGAGAGTGGGGGCCAATATTCAATATACTTAATCAACAGAACTTTCAGCCCAGAATTTCATATCCTGCCAATTTAAGCTTTACATTTGAAGGAAAAATAAAATCTTTTAGGAACAAGCAAGTACTCAGAGATTTTATTACCACCAGGCCTGCTTTACAAGAACTTCTAAAAGAAGCATTATACACAGAAAGGAACAACCAGTATGACCCTTTCTAAAAATACACCAAAAAGTAAAGAGCATTAACATAAAGAAGAATTTTTATCAATGAAAGGACAAAATAGCCAGTTAATAACAAATGGCAGCAACCCTAAATTTAAATCGACCAAATCTCCCAATCAAAAGATACAGACAAAATCTAACGGTATATCCAAAGATATACACAGACTCAAAATAAAGGGTTGGAAAAAAAAAAACAAAAACGTACCAACCAAATGGAGAGCAAAAATAAATAAATAAGAAGCAGGAGTTGCAATTTTCACATTTGACAAAATAGATTTCAAAGCTACAAGGATACAAGGGTAAAAGGATTAATGTAATAATAAGAGATCTTAACACCCAGATACATAAGACCCGTAATGAGATTTAGATTCAACGAGACAACAAATTGATAACGATACCCGGGACTGGAACTAAGATCCAGAACAAATAAACTCAATAGAGCTCTCCATTTTAAACACACAAAATATACATTATCCACAAAATCTAATGATATATCTGAAGATATACAAAGACTCAAAACAAGGGGATGGAAAGAAACTCACCAACCAAATGGAGAGCAAAAATAAATAAATAAAAAGCAGGAGTTGCAATTCTCACACTTAATAAAATAGATTTCAAAGCTACAAGGATGCAAGGGTAAAAGGATTAATGTAACAATAAGAGATCTTAACACCCAGATACATAAGACAGATAATGAGATTTAGATTCAACGAGACAACAAATTGATAACGATATCCAGGACTTGAACTCAGAGCCAGAACAAATAAACACAATAGAGGTCTCCATTTTAAACACATAAAATATGCATTAACCACTTTAAACACTCAAAATATTGATCGGCCATTATTGAAACCCATTTTAGGAATGAAGTAATATTCCTTTTTCCCTCTTTTTCTTTTTTTCCCCTTCTTTTTCTCTTTTTCCCTCTAAAAAATAAAAAAATTAAAAAAAAAAGTAGGTGACTGGATTGAGCAAATAAAAATTCAGGATGCCCAAAAAAAAAAAAGAGCGAGCAAGGTTTATGGTCTACCTGTGCTAACTGGTGTCCCTTCTTCATTAACTCAGGTTGTAACAGTGCACACAGTGGCTCAGCTCTCACTACAGGTCAGAGCACATATGCCAACGATGCCCATGTGCCCTCGCTCCATAAACTTGCATTCTGGTGAGCAGGGGAGGCAGACACTAGACGCACAATTAAGCGAGCCAGTATTCTAATAGGATTCTGTCGAGTTCTGTGAAGGAGAGCGGCATGTTGGCCTCTAAGGAGCAGCGGGGACTCATCGGCTCCAGGGCAGCCAAGGAGGCTTCCTTGAGGAGGTGACTGTCACTGCATGGCCTGCAGGTTGAGGGAGAGTTAATTAGACAGGAAGAGATGGGGATTCTGGTGGGGTGTAGAAAAGAAATCTTACAGACACATACCAGGACAGACGAGAGGGTTCTCGCGGGGGAGGGAGCACAGACGGTGGGTGCAGGGTAGAGGCCGGGCTGGAGGAATGCAGGAGCTGCAGAGGTGCTTGCTAAGCGGGGCAGATTGCAGACGCACCCACCTCTGCACCCTCCTGGGACTTGTGGCCTTCTCACTTTGACTTGCAGCTTCTGTCCTCAGGCGTTGGAGTCTAAACCCCTCCAGCCACCCCGCTGCTGACACCGGGCTGGCCTGGCTTTGACCAACAGGTCAAAGACTTTGAGACGGAGTTTCGCCCTTGTCACCCAGGCTGGAGTGCAATGGCGCCATCTCGGCTCACCTCAACAGGCCATGGTGAGCACGGAACCCTTCTGAGCCTCAGCCTCGAAAGGCCTGTGCGCTTCTTCCCTCTCCGTTTCTCTCAGTTCTGCCCAGCAGAGGCCAGTGACACAAGCCAACGCCATCCTAGGCCAGCCAGCTCCCGCTCACCCCTCAGTGACAGACTCACGCATGAGCAGCTGAGATCAGCACATCCAGCCCCCACGGGAAGGGCTGCCAGCTGACTCATAGACTCGGTGGGAAATACGTAGCCATGATTTTAAACCGCGGAATTCTGGAGTGGTGCATTAGGCTGCAGTAGCCATTTCATCCACAGGGATAAAAAGTAGCGATGTGAGAATTACAGGTCACATTAAGAATTTTGTATTTTATCCCAAGGGCAAAGCCGGTGAAGCGGTTTTCTTTTCTTTTTTCTTTTGCAGGAAAGTCATATGATTAAGTTGGCCTTCTAGAGAGATAATTTTCTGAGCAGTCAGAGAACAGCAGCTGTGTGGGAGGCCCTCACTCACAGATGACATCACCAGTATGTCGCTAGGAAGCAAAGCCTGACCTCCTTGTTTCTGTTACCTGCTATCCTGTTCATTAGCTAAACTTTATCAACCCCTCTGGGTCTTAAATCCTGGAGCCTTAAGGCAGCTCTGAGTGAGAGGCTACAACCATCAACTATGGGCACAGATTTCACCGAAGAGCTGGTGACAATCCATAAATATTCATTAATGTGTTCCATGCACAACTCCAACCAGCCACCCACATGCCTCCCCATCCACACATCTGCCCACCCTGTCATTTGTCACCCCTTCCATCCCACCGTCCATCTGTCCTCCCTTTCCTACTTTGATGGAGGAAGACCTTTGTACCTGTCTAGCTAAGTAAACACCTCCACTGTTCCTGAGGTCCCAGCGCCCTTACCTCCGTAAAGACCTTACTTTCTAGATACTCTTCACTCTAAATCCTGCCTTGTCCCTTTGTCTTCTTCACTGTTTTGTTCCCAAGAGCAGATACAGGTGATTTAGCTCTTCACTTTTTTTTTTTTTTTGAGACGGAGTTTCGCTTTTGTTACCCAGGCTGGAGTGCAATGGCGTGATTTCGGCTCACCGCAACCTCTGCCTCCTGGGTTCAGGCAATTCTCCTGCCTCAGCCTCCCGAGTAGCTGGGATTACAGGCACGTGCCACCGTGCCCAGCTAATTTTTTTTTTTTTTGGTATTTTTAGTAGAGACAGGATTTCACCATGTTGACCAGGAGGGTCTCGATCTCTTGACCTCGTGATCCACCCGCCTCGGCCTCCCAAACTGCTGGGATTACAGGTGTGAGCCACCGTGCCTGGCTCTCTTCACTTCTTAAAGCAACCCTTTCAGCTTAGCTTTCTCCTCTAGTACCATCCCGCGTATCTCGTTCCCTTTACGGAAAAACTCCCTGGAAGGCACCTACACGCCCCACCTCCCACTTCTCCCCTGCCGCGCTCTCCCGGCTGCTCTCAGTCCTCTCTGCACCCCCGAACACAGCTCTTCCTGTCCACGTCAAGTGATCAGGCCTCACTCTTTCCTCCCTGAAGCCGTTTCTCTATGTGGCCTTCAGCATGTCACCTGCTTCATGTTCAGCCTACCGCCCTGTCACCTTCTCAGCCTCCTTTGCAGATAACAAAGCTGGAACCTCAGAGCTTTAGACTTTGCAATGTTTTTCTTATGTTCATATTTACTATTTAGTGATTCCCTTCAGAGTCATAGCTCTTAACACCCCCTGGAAGTTGGTGAGTCCCACTGCATATATCCAGCCGCATTCTCTCCACAAACTCCGCACTCATCCATAAAACTCTATGTGTGGCGGGTCTGCTCAGGTGTTGAACTGCAGCGGCTCCCACGTGAACTTCAGAGCCTGCTTCTCTGCTTTCCTCCCAGTTCAGCTAAGGATCGTCACATGCTTCCAGTTACTCAGCTCAAATTCTTAAGAATGACCTTCATCTCTCAATACACTACCAATCCATCATCAAATCCTGTTGAGTGTGCCATTGAAATGCAAACAGCAATGACTACTGCTCAACAGCTTCCTCTGTCTGGGTACAAAATGGCCCCCAACACATTCTTCCTGCACTCACCTTGAACCTTAGTCAATGTTCAACACAGGAACCAAAGTCACTGCAAAATGCAAGTGATACATGCCACTCCACTGATGTAAAGCAAGGTGCTCAGAAGATCTGCTGTGTACTCAGAGTAAATCTAAATCAAAGCCTGAGGCACAGAGTCCTGCAAGATCTTACCTCCATCAGGACTCTGACCACTGTGTTCCACAGTCACTTACACTTATTCTTTACCCATGCTAGATGCCTTCTGGTCCTTAAAGAAACTAGGCAGGACAGCCTAAGAGCATGACATTGATATTCCTATTTATCGTATTGCTCTGCCATCAGCCTGATCCTGACGCCAGCAGGAGCTCCTCCATCAGCCTCCACCTCATTCCAGCAAGTGCTCCTCCATCAGCTTCCTCCCTCAGTCCATCTCCTCCATCAGCCTCCTCCCTCAGTCCAGCAGGTGCTCCTCCATCAGCCTCCTCCCTCAGCCCAGCAGGTGCTCCTCCATCAGCTTCCTCCCTCAGTCCAGCAGATGCTCATCCACCAGCTTCCTCCCTCAGTCCAGCAGGTGCTCCTCCATCAGCTTCCTCCCTCAATCCATCTCCTCCATCAGCCTCCTCCCTCAGTCCAGTAGGTGCTCCCCCATCAGCCTCCTCCTTCAGTCCAGCAGGTGCTCCTCCACCAGCTTCCTCCTTCAGTCCAGCAGGTGCTCCTCCATCAGCCTCCTCCCTCAGTCCAGCAGGTGCTCCTCCACCAGCTTCCTCCTTCAGTCCAGCAGGTGCTCCTCCATCAGCTTCCTCCTTCAGTCCAGCAGGTGCTCCCCCATCAGCTTCCTCCTTCAGTCCAGCAGGTGCTCCTCCATCAGCCTCCTCCCTCATTCCAGCAGGTGCTCCTCCATCAGCCTCCTCCCTCACTCCAGCAGGTGCTCCTCCATCACCCTCCTCCCTCACTCCAGCAGGTGCTTCTCCATCACCCTCCTCCCTCAGTCCAGCAGATGCTCATCCACCAGCTTCCTCCCTCAGCCCAGCAGGTGCTCATCTACCAGCTTCTTCCTTCAGTCCAGCAGGTGCTCCTCCATCAGCCTCCTCCTTCAGTCCAGCAGGTGCTCCTCCATCAGCCTCCTCCCTCAGTCCAGCAGATGCTCATCCACCAGCTTCCTCCCTCAGTCCAGCAGGTGCTCATCTACCAGCTTCTTCCTTCAGTCCAGCAGGTGCTCCTCCATCAGCCTCCTCTCTCATTCCAGCAGGTGCTCCTCCATCAGCCTCCTCCCTCATTCCAGCAGGTGCTCCTCCATCAGCCTCCTCCCTCAGTCCAGCAGGTGCTCCTCCATCAGCCTCCTCCCTCATTCCAGCAGGTGCTCCTCCATCAGCCTCCTCCCTCATTCCAGCAGGTGCTCCTCCATCAGCCTCCTCCCTCAGTCCAGCAGGTGCTCCTCCACCAGCTTCCTCCTTCAGTCCAGCAGGTGCTCCCCCATCAGCTTCCTCCTTCAGTCCAGCAGGTGCTCCTCCATCAGCCTCCTCCCTCATTCCAGCAGGTGCTCCTCCATCAGCCTCCTCCCTCACTCCAGCAGGTGCTCCTCCATCACCCTCCTCCCTCACTCCAGCAGGTGCTCCTCCATCAGCCTCCTCCCTCAGTCCAGCAGGTGCTCCTCCATCAGCCTCCTCCCTCACTCCAGCAGGTGCTCCTCCATCAGCTTCCTCCTTCAGTCCAGCAGGTGTTCCCCCATCAGCCTCCTCCTTCAGTCCAGCAGGTGCTCCTCCATCAGCCTCCTCCCTCAGTCCAGCAGATGCTCATCCACCAGCTTCCTCCCTCAGTCCAGCAGGTGCTCATCTACCAGCTTCTTCCTTCAGTCCAGCAGGTGCTCCTCCATCAGCCTCCTCTCTCATTCCAGCAGGTGCTACTCCATCAGCCTCCTCCCTCATTCGAGCAGGTGCTCCTCCATCAGCCTCCTCCCTCACTCCAGCAGGTGCTCCTCCACTCTTCAGCAGCTGCTCCTCCATTGGCCTCCTCCCTCAGTCCAGCAGGTGCTCCTCCAAGAGCCTCCTCCCTCACTTTCATTTTTTTTTTAAGTACCCATCTCACTGAGGCCTCTCTCTCAACCTCATTTCTCAGTTTTTACGCCACACGCTTCCTGTCCTGGCATCTACTTGTTTTTTTGTTAGGATACTTCCAATGTCTTACGTACCTTACGTCTTTCTGTTACTCCTTGTCCCCTACACTACAAGGCCTGAGCCATGGGGAGAATGATTCTGCTGTTTTCAAGGCCAGATCAGGCATCACGTTTTTCAGTACTGAGGAAATATTGATAGGATGAGTGAATAACTGGATGAACACACAGAACTGTGCCAAGCATAAGGGCACGGCAGGATCAAACTTGCCAGAGACACTCTTTGCCTGAGTATCTCAATCTGCACCAGTGCTGGGCGTGTCGGTGGCCATGGCCCTGCACAGACACTCGGGAAATGTGCCTGGATGTTACCGCCGAGGTGAGCCAAGAGGCTGGACCTCCCTCCTGCATGGTCCTGAGGCCTTGGAGAGGTGAGCTCATCTCTACTGAACCTTCGCTTTGTGCCAGGGACCATGTGACTCCACGTAGAGGTCAGCGCTGATGTTGGGTAATGGGGTCCCTGCTCCCCGTTAGACATGAGCTGGAGTTGGCAGCTCCTCTGTCCTGGGCTCCTCACCTGCGTCCTAAGGCTGTGGGCTGAGCCCCCAGCTCTGTGTGGTCCGAAGCCGATGCACCATCCCCTGCTGGCCTTGTTCACTCCCTGCTCCTTTCCCAGGCTTCTTCCCATGACTCTGCCTGACCTGTCAGCCCCACGCTGCAGATCAGCTTAGAAATGCATGTTGTCAGCAGCACCTAAGCCTCAAGTTCCAGGCTGACGGGAGAACCATGTTGAATATTTAATTGTTTTTCACATGGTTGCTGCTGAGAGCCGCCCAGGGTAAGGTTAGCTCTGAGATCATCCGAGTTCGTCCGTAATCACCATCTTTACGGACTTCTCCAAAGGTTCAGTAGGAGGCTCAATTTTCGCCCCATTAATATTAATTCGTTGGCTGTGGGGGCTTGTTCTGATGACATATTCTCTTGTTAAATATTCATTGCTGGAGCTAGAGGTGCACCACAGACTAACTATTACTGGAGGGAAATTGGAGCAAATCACCATTAACCGCTCCTGACAATCGTCCCTGATTTGTCTCCCTGCCCTTTGAGAAGCAGCCTCCCTGTCAGAGAATGTCCAGCCTAGTCCTTGTCAGGAGAGGAGAGGGGTGGGAGGCTTCTGGCCAGTTGTACAAGGGCCCTTGTGCGGCTCTTGGATGCACAGAGGCCGTGTGATGGGGCCCCTGCTCTGAAGGAGAGCCCCCGCCGGGGCCGCGGATGCCCAAGCGCCACACCCTGCCGCCTCTCCCTG